ATGGGGGGGGGGGAACGGCCTGGAAAAATAGGCAAAACAATTTAAAGTAAAAAAAAGAAAATTAAGTAATAAAGAGGATTAAAATATTCTTTACAATAAGTCCATCTAATGCTACCAATGTGCTTCCAAAAGTATAATCACATTACTCTGGGTTTTTGGACATAGTGTCATGCTAATATCATGTATTTTGGACACATTCTATTTTAATATCACAGAATTCATTGAACAAAATATAAGTCAAAAAAATAGAAAAATATTAAAATATTTCTTTTATTTTACTTAAAAATTAAGTAAAATAAAATAATTAAAATGTCAACTCTGACCTTACAACCTTACAGCACCGTGTAAATACTATTCAGTAGCATGGTATTATGACAATGACTGTATCCCCTTTAAAAAAAGGGTGGGCCAGACTCCTCTAAAGCGGAGCCTGTTCAACACAAAAAAGGCTAACAGTTAGTCTGAACCCAAATTCGAATGAATTTGGCAGCTAAATACCTTACAAACCTCAAACTGAAAGGCTTACTGTTTAAAAGCACATCTATTTTCAAAAGTTTATGAATATCTTTTCAGATAATTTAATACTATTAGTATAGAAGTGCTAAAAACACTCTCATACATGAGTTGGCTGGTGACACTTACAGCGAGTTATTCAGCACAACATAATTAAACCTAATCAAACTCGTTTTGATATCACGCAACAGTACAACTAATTGACTGAATTACCAAGGAACATTAGGTGTAACTCTTTTAGCAAAACACAGCCTGCATCGGACTAAAATAGACCTTAATTGACAAAGAATTTTTTAAGAGGGTAAGGCTCAAAATAAAACTCACTCAATATCTTTCTATTATTATGACATTTCTATTATTATGAGTCTGTGCTGCAGAGGGCATTTGAATATCTGCCTGCTGTCATATTGAATGGTAATGCACATTACTTATGGAACACAGTACCATGTCCCAGTTCTCAACTATCAGCAATGGCTACTAAGGAGACATGTCAAAGGAAACACAGCATCATTCCCTGAGGATAACTGGTGAACTCTTATTTCACATCATTATTAAACAATTATGAAATGTCATGACTAATTTAATATAGCAATATTAATGTACTTTTGAAATAAACTTCTCAACACCAAAATCTTTTTATCCTTAAGTGTCCAATGATATGACAAATGAATTTGCTGTTACCCGCCAGTTGAGAACCAGTGATCTAATTAAAAAAATATTTCTAAATTAGATTTAGCCAAGTATAAAAATGACTTGACACAATAATAGAGCTGTAGTCATTCTACACAATATTGTTACTGATTTCCACAGCATCCTTTCAAAAGAAAAACTGGTTTACACCTTAAGGTTAACCAAACAAAATAAATAAACAAAATCTCTTTGAAAAAACATCTTTGAGATGTTAAACTCGGGAGTCCATCATTCTGGCTTGGCCCAGAACAAATAGACTTACCTGGCACCATGGAGCGAAAACATCATTAAGATTTCGCTCTCATCCGACGAGCAGAAATAAAAGAGCGGGCCAGCAAATAATGAGAACATATCAAAACTGTCTGATCTGATTAGATGCTGACAAAATATGGAGGCTTTGTACGACAAAAGCAGACCTCAAGTAACAAGAAATCAAACCGTCTTGTAATAAGCACTGTTGTTAAATCAGGTGGGCTTTTTAGCCTGTCGAGACTATAATCAGACCAGAGAGAGGGCCATCTTACACCAGATCTGTGTGTCGAGTTAAGCAAACAGGCTTTTTTCCGCCCTTTCCTTACAAGGAAGGTTGTGAGATTAATTGGTGTGAGCGTGATAGAGTCATATGCGCTGTGTAAAGCCATGAGGAGAGGGTAGTTTAACAGTAGTGCTCTCTGGCCGCTAGCGGAGCAGCTTTGAACAACTGAAACCATCACTGATTTTCTCCTCCCTACACAGATCCATCACATAACCCAACTCTCATTGCATTTCACCTGTATTAGTACTAAAATACACTAAAATCCAAAAGTATGTTGACACAGGGACATAAAATTAAGCATGCAGCCTTGCAATATCCTTAGATGGTCATTTTTAGAAGATGCACCTTTTCTGTTCCAGCAGGTGTCCATCGTGTATTTTTACTATAAGTGTAAAAATGTATTGTGAGCCATTAAACCCATAATGAAAATGCAATGTAGATTACAGAATTTATTAGAATTACTTAATATCATCGAATGCAATACATATCTATTTTTTTTGGAAATAGCTTCATGTTTAAGGAACGGTCACATTTATTGTTGTTGTGTGAATTTTCACAGGCGAAATCCAGTCATTTCAATAGGAATCCAAGCGATCTAGAATTTTGCGAATGGGGGAAAGAATTCCCCACATAGATTTTGCAGCAGGTTCGTTTACATGCACAAAAGTGGCTATTCTAAGATAAGATAGTCAAATTAAGTCAAATAAAGCATTTTGGATAATGCTTATTGTCCCTCGATATTCCAATATTCCACCACACAATAGTCTAATGTAAACTAGTTATACAGTATGTGCATCTTCATCATGTTTTGGGAATGAATTATGAATTGTACCAAAAACTCGAAGCAAGTTATTGATTTTAAAATATAGGTTCAGATCCATGTATTGTTTTCTGGCTTCAATTGGTTTTCTAAAATTAGAGAACAAAAGATAAACTCTAAAACATTATTTTCTACGCTCCATTTTCTACACCACTACCATCCATCACCACACGGAACTGCAAAAATCATGCCTGTTTTCAAACAAGTTTCCCTGAACACTCCCCCCCATCTGCAATTGGCTGGTCAAACAAATAGTCCCCCCCCCCCAAACTCACTCCATTGGTTTAGCCAATGCTGCTGTTGTTAGGTTTAGGTGCTCAAACTAACATAAAAATGTTTTCATAGCACCTCAGAGCCACAGTGTTTACACATTTCAAGGAAAACAACACACAAATGGTTCATTTACAGCTGTTCTGGGGATAAAAGTAAGTATTTAAACATTTTTAAAAAATGACACATCACCACAGTTTAAAGCAAGTAAAACAAGAAAAACATTTAGGAAGGAAACTCACCTCTGCTTGGAAGCCCTTCAGCAAAGGAGCTATCTGTTTACGCAAATCCTGAAAGACAAAAAAACAGACAAAGATGAACTATTATTTTACTATATTAGATTCTGAAGAGTGTTTGAAATGAACAGACACCAGATTTATTTTCCATGTAGCATGTGTAGAACTCAGGATATTGAGAGCAGACAATACCAGGCATCTGATCACAGATGGAGAAAAATAACTGGGAGAAAAAAACACACAAAATGTATTCAAATGGATATCTTAATTTATCAAATGTCCCAGGGCTGGTTTTGTTCTCTGCAAAAGAGGAAAAAACACACAGCGAGTGCACGCACATGTGTAAGCATACGCACAAACGCGCTCTCACACAAAAGAGTATCACCTTGTGCAGCTTCTGACTATGAGCAAAGGAGAGTGTGTGCTTTAAGGAGTGTGTATGTATGCATTCACATTCTCTCTCTCACTCTCTTCTGATATGCCCTAGTTTTTTCCCTTGCACGAGTTCTCCATGACTCAGTCCCCTTTACTGCAAAAACTGCTCATGCAAAAACAGCGAGAACAAAAAGCAAAGTGCAGCGCCACATGTATGCATATGTGCGCTACAGCCGTTCGGTTGACGAGAAAAATTACATAATTAGTACTCAAGAAAGATTTACAACTGTAATCTATTACTATATCATCTTGTCATAAAGTTACAGATGAATGAGTTGCTTTTCAGCTCATGTTTCTGAGTGATATGAAATTTTCATTTAAAAAGAATCATAAAGAGAAACAAACAAAAAAATCTCCTCGTAGAAAACAAACCGTGTCTTTGTTTCAAGTTCGGATGGCAGCACACCTCCCTCCTCTTGCGGGACCTTACAGTCGAGTAATTTTGATGCCGTGGTATTAAAGTATATCAGATTAAGATGAACATCAATGCCTCTTTCATTTGTTCGGTTGACGAGAAAAATTACATAATTAGTACTCAAGAAAGATTTACAACTGTAATCTATTACTATATCATCTTGTCATAAAGTTACAGATGAATGAGTTGCTTTTCAGCTCATGTTTCTGAGTGATATGAAATTTTCATTTAAAAAGAATCATAAAGAGAAACAAACAAAAAAATCTCGTAGAAAACAAACCGTGTCTTTGTTTCAAGTTCGGATGGCAGCACACCTCCCTCCTCTTGCGGGACCTTACAGTCGAGTAATTTTGATGCCGTGGTATTAAAGTATATCAGATTAAGATGAACATCAATGCCTCTTTCATTTGAACATAGGGTGGGTGTTTCAACATGAAATGACATTACACACGGCTGTGAATAAATCACCGGGCCGGACAAAAAGCCCTCACATTAAAAGTCAGTATAGGAATGCCTACCACGCACAAACACATTACTGAATGCTGGGGCCGAATAAAACGGCGCCCTGAGTGCTGTAATCACCAGGACGCAGGCCATTACGCCACTGCGGCATAAAGATAAACACATCATTACCGAAGCCGCTCGCGTTTCATTAGCAGTGTAGGAGTCACCATAGCAGATATATTTAATATAATGGGCAAGAGAGAATTGGATTTTACAGGAAAAGTAGCAAAAAAATCCTCCTCAGTCCATCCACTCCAAACGTTCTTTATGGTTTTATGGTTTTGTCAAGTGTTGAATAATGATCAGAGTATCAGACAAAGAAGATCAATCTGAAAATAAAATTAGTTCATATTTACTAATTTGGGATAATACACTGTGGACACACCTGTCTAAATTTAAGTTTTACATGATCTTAAAAGCATTTTAATCTAAAGATAACTGCTTAAATGTCTCAAAATTGGTTTTGTAAACAAATATAAATTCTGTCAACTGAATTTCTTCAGAATATTAACATAATAAAATTATTATAAAATATTGTTATATTTGATCACAAATTAAATGTGTGTGTGTGTGTGTGTGTGTGTGTGTGTTAGAACATAAAGTGTAGGGAAAAAGTGCTACACTCTTAAAAATAAAGGTGCTTCAAAAGGTTCTTCACAGCGATGCCATAGAAGAACCATTTTTGGTTCCACAAAGAACCATTCAGTCAAAGGTTCTTTAAAGAACCATCTCTTTCTTACCTTTTTATAATCGAAAGAACCTTCTTTCGCCCCAAAGAACCTTTTGTGAAACAGAAAGGTTCTTCAGATGTTAAAGGTTCTTTATGGAACCATTTAGACAAAAAGGTTCTTCTATGGCATCGTGAAGCACCTTTATTTTTAAGAGTGTACTTTGTGTAAAACAACAGAAAGTAAGATATAGTTATTATGTGTTTTTTTTTTCATTTTTGGTAATTCTCATACTTAAATGTGTGTTATTTAATAGATTTGATGGCTTTACCTTAATTCTAACATAATAAATGTAGAAAATACTATCTAAAAAATGTAGCAAATGTGTCCAAACATTTGACTGGTACAGTTTTAAAATATGTTTTGTAAATGTTTTTCATAAAAATATTATGCAAATTGAATAAATATTATGTAAATTAAGCACTTTAGCAATGTTGTATATATATATATACACTGTAATTATGTTTTGTGAATTGCTGATATGATGCTAATAAGTATTACTATTGCATCACCTATCAGTTATCCTACTAGTCTTAAAAAGTTATCCTACTAGTCTTAAAAATATTAATACCAAAATATGGGCTTCTGTACAATACCAGTGACCAATACCAGTATCAATGCTTAATCATTACCTGCCGATGAATACAATCATCGGTACAAAAAAAACCTACCAGCAGTGTACACACACAACATGTCTGCCAGGTTTATCGCGATGAGCAGGTAACACAATGACAAGGCAAGACTGCCACAAACAGCTGACGCCTGCATGTCTCACTCATGTTTGGAGAGAAAGAGCAGTGACAGAGAGCAGACAGAAGTGGTGGAGGGTAGCTTTGACCCCACTGCACTCTTCATCTTCCCAGAGCGAGCAGCTGGGCCTCTGTTCCCGCTCTCCCTCCCGCACTGGCTACTGTACAGATGACATTTATGTAAGTGCCACACCAGAGGGGCCCACGTGACCAGGAGGAAACATCTCTCAACATCTGGTTTCAACATAATACTCTGGGCCTGGCCAAAAGAGAGTTCCCCTGCAGTACTCTCCTACTCCATCTTTCTCTGCAGATGCAATCTGCCTGCATTCATACGTAAAGACAGCAGTGCATAAAAGTACATTTATATTGTTAGCGAATGGATAAAAAGCTTGCAATAAAAGTAAATCTCCAGGAACCGGGCCAAGTTTGAGCATGTGCAAGTCATTGGTAAATCCAGGGGGGTCTGAAGACGGAAACACAATCTGTCGGACTACTGCTGCACGGAAAGAGACGGTGAGGTCAAAACGTGACGTGGCGAAAGCTTAACAGCTGAACAAGAAAAACGGATGCAGGCAAACTGCACCTCAGGATGACTGATGGGAAATTATAGTTACTGTCAAGCTTTGAATCAAATATTTGGTCACTGTGAGATTATCAGCATCAGCTGATATCACGCACGATTTCTGATTTGGAATAATTTTAGTCTTTTAAGTAAATATTGACACATACATCCTAATTGCTGTAATTACATTGTATTATCTTATATGACATACTGTAAGCTTCAGAAATTAACTTAAGAAATATTTACCCCTTGAACAGATTTTAAGGGGCTCTATGAGCACAGTTTCAAACAGAAGCCACTACATATTTGTTTTATATTTAATACTCAACTCAATTATAGATATCTAGCAATTAAAGGGTTAGTTCACCCAAAAATGACAATTCTGTCATTAATTACTCACCCTTGTGTTGTTCCAAACCCGTAAGACCTTCGTTCATCTTCGGAAGACAATTTAAGATATTTTTGATGAAATATGAGGGCTCTCTGACCCTCCCATAGACAGCAAGGTAACTACCACGTTCAAGGTCCAGAAAAGTACCAAGATGATCGACAAAGTAGTCCGTGTGACATCAGTGGTTCAACTATAAAGTTATGAAGCTACGAGAATAAATTTTTGCGCAAAGAAAACAAAAATAACGACTTTATTCCACATTTTCGTCTCTACTGCGTTACTTTGGACGCGCGTTCATGACAGTACCATGACGCGAGCGTGTGGCGGCTTGCTGTATGGGAGGGTCAGAGAGCCCTCATATTTCATCAAAAACATCTTAAATTACAGGTTTCGAACAACATGAGGGTGAGTAATTAATGACAATTAAAATTTTTGGGTGAACTAACCCTTTAAAGGTCAATTTATACAGAATATATGAAATATCAAAAAACTAAAATAAAAAAGCTTTATAGTAAATTTAACAGAAAGTACAATAAATTTTAAACATTAAAATAAAATAAAATATAAAATATAAAATCACACATTTTTGCCCCAAGTCCTGGTTAATTAATTACCCTGATTAGCATTATAGATTAAACATTTATAGCAATATCATCAATATCAGTCATTAAAAAAAATTAGTATTAAGTATTAAAAAAACTAAAAAGAATATTAAATATTAAAAAGTTAATTCATTAAACCTAATTTGTTAATTACGGAATCATTCAACGACTGGACAGCTACCTACAAAACAAAGAAACAGACCTTTATCTTTATCTAGCTTTTCACCCTCCAAAGCAGTGGTCTCAAACTCAATTCCTGGAGGGCCACAGCTCTGCAGAGTTTAGCTCCAATCAGCTCCAAATAGCACCTGCTTTGAAGTCTCTAGTAATCCTGAAGACCTTGATTAGCTGGATCAGGTGTGTTTGATTAGGGTTGGAGCAAAACTGTGCAGAGCTGTGGCCCTCCAGGAATTGAGTTTGAGACCACTGCTCCAAAGCAACGATCACATCCTCTAGGGGGCTTTGTGAGAGACGCTGCAGTCAATCACCCAGCAGAAACACATTCTTCCTGTGTCCCCACATCCAGATCCACCTAAAGTCTCTGAAAGCCATCCCCTCCTCTAGCACGCTGCATCTTTAAACCTGACAGTTTGGCAGATTACACAGCTGCATGGGCCAGCCTGGTGAATTATTTACCATCAACGTGAGCCTTTCCCTCCTCCCAC